CAGCACTGATGTTGCTTTCTAAGTACCATCTTCCATAAGGGGAAATAGACTTGCTTAGAGAAATAGTGAATTTCAGAGCTGGGACAGAAAAAGTATGAGATGAGCCTTCTTGTGCCAGAAAATAAGTAAGCACTCAATGAATAAGTGGGAAGCCAACATAAATGAACTCCCACTGGTCAAATCAGGACAGTATGTGCATCCAAATAAGTAATGATATAACAAATTATAATCCATTAAATAAAATAGGCATCTAGGAATCTACACTGATAAAAAAATGAGTATATAGTTGGAGAGAAGAGAAAGTTTTTTTCTTATAGTAGAATACAACTAAAAGATGTAGAAGGAATATTGGAATTTAAAAATAACTACTGGGTAACCATAATTGTAATAATCTAGTCAAAGAATATCAACAAATACTAAAACCACAGAGAGAAAGTTTGATGAAGTGTGAGATGATTGCATAGCTTCATATGATCTTCATGTGAAATAGTTCTTAAATTATGAAGCAAAAATGGGTAACTTTACTTCTAGTATTGAAGAAACATCAAGCATATCCAAATTGAGGAGTATTCTACAAATAACTGCCAGTGTTGGTTCACAAAGATTAAGGAAATGCTTAGGAACTCTTTCAGACAAGAAGTTAAAAGATTAATGGCATCTAATGTGTCAATATTAATTTCCTACTTTGATGGCTATTCTGTGATAATATAGGAGAAGATTTTATTTCCAGAAATTATATACTAAAGTGCTTGGGGGTGATGTGGCAACATATTATTGAGTTACTCTCAAATGGTGCAGGAAAAAAGTCCTTTAAATTTTTTCAATAATTTTGATATTATTTTGAAATAAATACATATATACAGAGAGACAGAAGGAGGGCATATTTGAGAGTCCAATTTTAGTCAGTCTTTTTCTTCTACAAAATTTTTTACTCATATATGAAAAAATGTGTTACTTTTTCACACATAAACTTGTGTATATACATAGACATCAAATTGTCCCTCTTCAGTAGAAAAAAAATTTAGTATTAATTCTGTCACTTGCCACAGACATTTTCAAGTATGAAAAAACATTATATCTATAAAAGAAAGCCAGGCAAATATCACTAACATAGAAATTCATAGATACTGTGGGGTTTTTTTAATTTCACATATACTTGTCCATAAAACACAAATAGGTATTTCTTCTGTTGGAGAAAAGAAGGATGGCTACTCAAAGTTGACAGCAAGTGTCAAAGAAAACAAATTATTTCTATAAAATGAAAATGCTGATGGACACTGGAGGTCATATATAATGACCATATAGAAGGAGACGCCAAAGTGTGTCAAGTGGTGATACACCAAAATCCTCAGGAAAGGGCTGTTAGTACAGATTTTATTGTCCATCATTTGGAATAAGAATCTTGTAAGTGGCATTGTGTAAAATGAAGGGGTCCAGGAATGCACTCTCTTCCCATTTTCTGATGAACTAACTCCAGTCAAGCATTGCCATCCATCATTTCACCAAAACTGAAAGGCCACCAAAGACCTCTACATTGCCACATGCATTGTTCAGTTTCCTCTCATCCATTCTCTCAGCACAATATTACAAAGGTGATCACTCCTTCCTCCTTTCTTCACTTTGCTTACCTACCACTACCCAATTTCATCCTCATTCACTGTCTGCTATCTTTAATGCATCTTCATATTAGAGTTTCCAAGAGTTTGGATTCTGGATACCTTTTCCTCTTTATTTGAATATTTTCTTTTCAGAATCTCATTCAGTTTTATGGCTCTCAACATCATGTGTGTGCACTGGGATCCACTCTTTTTAAATTATTTATTTATTTATTTTAGTTGATTTTATTTTTATAAATACACGACAGCTGAATGCATTACAATTCTTATTACACATATAGAGCACATTTTTATATCATTGTATATAAAGTATGTTCATGCCAATTCATGTCTTCATACATGTACTTTTTTGCATTATGATTCTTATTACACATATATGCCACAATTTTTCATATCTCTGTATATAAAGTGTGTTGACACCCAATTTGTGTCTTCATACAGGTACTTTGGATAATGATGTCCATCACATTCTACCATCCTTGCTAATTCCCTGCCCCTTCCCTTTCCCTATCTAGAATTGATCTATTCATCCCATGCTCCCACTCCCTACCCCACTATGATTCAGCCTCCTTATATCAGAGAAAACATAGAGCTGATTTCTTGATATCTCCATAGAGATGGTTATAAGTTATCTTCACCTTTACTTGTCTAAACTCTGGATTACTCTTTCAAAACCTGCTCTTCTAGCAGCTTCCCCTTCTCTGTTAGCAATAAACCCATCTTTCTGGTTGATCCAAGCACAACATCTCAGACATATGCATAAGAAACTCTTTCTCTTTCTCTCATGCCTATATCCAACCTGGTATAAGGACTGTCAGCTCCATCTTCAAAATATAACCAGAATTTCACTTGTTTTAGTACCTTCAGGGTCATGTCCCTGGTCCAAGCCACCTTAATCCCATGGATTACTAAAATAGCCTCTTCAGTAGTCTCACTGTTCCAAATCTTGCCTCTGCAGTCTATAAATGGCCCCCAGCCTACAATAACCTGATTTAGGACTTTCAGCTTTAAAATGGTGCTAAACTGATACACATTCAGTAGAAACAATGCTTCAAATTTTGAATTTGAATCTTTTCCTGGGCTAGTGATATGGGGCATGATATTCTCTTGCAATGTTGGGCAAGAGCAGTAGTAAGTTACAACTCCCAGTCATGCCCCTGATCACAAGAGCAACAACCAGTGCTCTATGGTGAACTGTGCTGCTAAGCCAGACCGTTTGGCAGGTCAAATGTAATAGATGCCCTTTCAACTTAATATTTTCAACTTAGGATGAGTTTAACAGCTGCTTTTATCTGTTCTAATATTATATGAGAGCTGGACTGGTCATCAGCCGGCAAACATTAGCTACTAAATATTTGGCAAATCACAGAATCTTGACATTTTCATATATGAAGGTAGCATTTTCTCTTTTAAAATGTTTATTATTATTTATTTGCAAATTATGAGATACAATGTAATAATTCATTACGTATATACAGTGTGCAATGACCAAACTAGGCATGTTAGCATTTCCATCTCCTTAATTCTTTAAAAATTTTTTGATTAACATAACAATTATACACATTTATGGGTTAGAGTATATTTCAGTACATGTATACAAAATGTGATGATCAAATTAAGTAAATAACATTTCTATCTCCTTATCTTTACTTTGTTTTTAGCTTTCTAGCTTCTCAGTTTGAGTTATTCATTCCCCACCCCCCTACCCACACTGGGGATTAAACCCAAGGGCACTTAATCACTGAGCCACATTCCCAGCCCTTTTTTATTTTGTATTTTATTTAGAGACTGGGTCTCACTGAATTGCCTCAGGTTTCACTAAGTTGCTGAGGCTGGCTTTGCACTTGAGATCCTCCTGCCTCGGCCTCCTAAACTGGGATTAAAAGCATGTGCCACACACTTGGATATTCATAAAATATTTAATAGGATACTGTGAACTACAGTCACCCCATGTGCTATGAACATTAGAGCTCATTACATCTACCTTACTGTAATTGTATACTAATCATCCAACTTCCCTCTACCCTTCCCTCCCCAATTTCCCAGCCTCTAATAATCGCTATTATATATTCTGATTGATTTCTTTTAATATCCACATATAAGAAAGACCATGCAGCATTTCTTTTTCTGTGTCTAGGTCATTTCATATAACATAATGTTCTCCAGTTTGGTCCATTTTGCTAAACATGATGATGGGATATCATTCTTTTAATGACCAAATAGTATTTCATTGTGTATATAGTATGCATTTGTGGACACACACACACCACCATTTCTTTATCCATTCATCTGCTGATGGGCATTTGGGTTAATTCCATTTCTTAACTATGTGAATAGTGCAGCAAAAACATGGCATGCAGGTGTCTCTGGTATTCTGATAGCTTTTCCCTTGGATATATACTCAGAAGTAGGATAGCCAGATCATATAGTAGATTTTTAGTTTATTGAGGAACATTCACACTATTCTCCATAGTGGCTGTACCAGTTTACATTCTCATCAATTGAATATATGAGTTCCTTTTACTCCACATCATCTCCTGCATTTGTTAAACAGATGTTCTAGCTGGGGTGAGATGATCTCACTGAGATTTTGATTTTCATTCCCCAGATGACTAATGAAACTGAGCATTTTTGCATAAATTAGCTGGCCATTTAAATTCTTTCTTTGGAAAACTGTCCATTCTCATACTTTACCCACTTTTTAATTGGATTATTTGGGGTTTACTACTGTTGTCGTTTTTTAAATTCCTTCTATATTCTGGATACTAATCTTTGTCAGATGAATATCTGACATATATATATTTTTCTCATTCTTTAGGTTGTCTTTTCATTGTATTGATTGTTTTCTTTGATGCATAGAAACTTCTTAGTTTGACATGACCCCAATTGTGTAGTTTTGCTTTTGTTTCCTGTGCTTTGGGGATCTTATTCAAATGCTCATTGCCTGGACTGATATCTTGAAGTGTTTTCACTATGGTTTTTTTTTTTTTTTTTTTTTGGTTTTCATTTATTTGTTTATTTATTTTTGGTAGCTTCATAGTTTCAGGTCTTATATTTAGAACTTGATCCATTTTTAGTTGATTTTTGTATAGAGTGAGAGATAGGGGTCAAGTTTCAATGTTCTGCATGTGAATATTCAGTTTTTCCAACACCAATACCAACTTTTGAAGAGGCTGTCCTTTCTCCAATGTATGTTTTTGGTACCTTGGTGAAGACTCAGTTGGCAGAAAATTTATGAGGTTATTTCCCAGTACTCCATTCTGTTCCATTAGTCTCTGTGTCTTTTTTTTATGTCAATACCACAATGTTTTCATTATTACAGCTCTAATTGATTTTGGTTACCAATAGAAAATTAACAATGATAGTCTTTCTAGCACTCGGAAATCACACCAAATGTAATTTTAATTCAATAATTACATTCATTCAATGAACAAGGTATTGAATTCCTGCTATGTATGATCATCACCATTAATTAATAAGTATATAATGGTGAGAAAAAAAGAAATGGTTTAGATCCTCCAAATTTTAAAATCTAGTGGAGAGACAGACAGAAAAAGAGCTATATAATTACAAAGTATAATTATAAAATGATCAAATTCCATAAAGATAATAGCCAGGTACTATGATGGTAAATAGCATGAAGACATAGTTAATTGGAAAAAAATTATCGAAAGCTTGCCTACAGAGGTGTTATTTAGGTCAAGATTTAAAGGATACATGAGTATCAGCTATACCACAAAACTAGCAGATAGACAGTCCACATGGTGGCAAGGCCCTCATGTTGGAAAGAGCTCCATATTTGCTAGAAAGTAAAGAGGGTAATATGCCAACCATGGCCAGGATAACTGCTCAGGAAAAGGCTGATCAAATCCTTTGTATTTTGTGAGATGTCGTGAGGAGTTTGGATTTTTATTTAACCAGAAATATTTTGAAGGATTTTAAAGAAGCATAAATGCATCTATATGATGAATGACTATGGCAGAACAGAGGAGGAAACATAGAAAACAAGCAGAAGATCACTGCAATAATATCAGGGGAGACAACTGTGCCCTCGACTAGGATGACAGAAGTGGAAATGAAGAGAAGTAAATGAATTGAAGATATAACTTAAAGGCCTAATCCATGATTTATTGAAGGGCAGGATGTGGGTCATAATGGAGAACGACTTCTAGGCTCAAGTTTAAGCAACCGTCTGGTTGTTATACTACATATTGAGAGGTTAATAAAAGGAGAAAAGTTTTCAGAGAGAAATTCCACTTTAGGTATATTAAGTTTGGGATGGCTATGGGTCATCCAAAAGGAGATGTCAAAAAGCTATAAGATTCACTTATATCCCTGAGAGAGTTTCTACACGATGGCACAGGGCGGAAGGAGCTTCTACACGGTGGACAGGGGAGAGCTGCACTGAGATACAAGTGTGGAAATCTGAAGAGAACTCTTCTAGATCATTCAGGAGAACACTGATCGTCATATGCATGTAACATGTGATCCCTCCCCCCTCAGGACTAGGAAAAAAAAACTAAAAGGATTAGAGACAATGGTTCTTGGAGTTTACATTGGGCTGGGAAAAGTTCTTCTCATACCAACTAGACAGGAAAACCTCATGTTTCCAAGGCAGTGGGTAAGCACTTTGGAGGATCTTTTCCCAACAATGGGATGCAGTAGACTAAACACAGCTCTGGTCCCACTTAACAAATCTAGAATGTAAGAAAAGAAAGGATTAAATTATTTCCAAATAATTTAACTATTCCCCAGAACAAAGCTCAAAAATATTTATGAGAATACAAAAATATACAACATCCAAGAAGGTAAAATGCACAATGCCTGGCATCTAAAAAAAAAAAACTACCAGTCATACAAAGAAGTAGGAAATTATGACTCATTCACAAGAAATTTTAAAAACCAAGAATAAAATTAATCAACTGAACCCAACCCAGAAATGACACAGATGTTAGGGTTAGCACACAAGAATATTTTCCCACATTTTAAGAAACTGAAGTAAAGATATGGGAGATATGAAAATGACAAAATAAAACTTTCAGAGACGAAAACCATAATGACCAAGATAAAAATGATATACATCAAATTAGATGAACAGCAGATTAGTCATCACAGGATAAAAGATTTATGGACTTGAAAATATGGCAATAGGAATAATCAAAATGAAATGCTAAAAAAAGATAATTAAAAAAGAGAACTTCACTGACCTAATTTAAAAATTCATATGGAAATGGAAAGACCTATATTAGCCAAAACAACTTTAAAAACAAGTTGAAGATTAACACTGCCTAATGTCAAGATAGATAAAATGAACAGTATGGTTTTGGCATGAAAATAAATAAACAAATCTATGGAACAGGATGGAGAGTGCGGAAGTAAAACTTTACATATATAGATAACTATCACTTTGACAAATGTGAAGAGAAAATTCAGTTGAGAAAAATTCCTTTTCAAAAAATAATTCTGGAACCATTGCATATGTATGTTCAGGAAAATAAATTCATATATATCTCAAACCATAAAAAAATTAATTCAAAATTCAAAATGAACCTAAGCCTCAACATAGGATGTAAAACTTTAAAACTTGTACAAGTAAAAAAATCAATGTGACCCTATTTAGGCAAATAATTTTCAGATATGACACCAAAAGCATGATGCAAAAATCCAGAAAAATTGTAGTTGTATGTCATCAAAATTAAAGATGTCTGTTCCTTGAAAGACAATGAAGAAAAAACCCTGAATGGAAGAAAGCATTTGCAAAGTATATATCTGCTAAATAATTTATATCCAGGGAAAACAATTATGTTCCATTTTTCTTAAAACTCAAAATTAAGACAATAATTCACCTAATTTAAAAATGACAGAAGAATTGAACAAACACTTTACCCAAAATGAATATAGACAGCAAATAAGCACAGAAAACATATTTACCATCATTGGTTATTAGAGATATGCAAAAGAAAATCACATGAAATAACACCACACATCTATGAGAATTAAAGTTATAATATTAAGTGTTGACAAGGATGGGGAGCAACAAACTACAGTTTAGGAATAAGAATGACTATAAAAGCCATCGGTGTTACAAAAGTTACAAACTATCTTAAAGGGATGTATATTCCTACTGGTACAGTCTGCAGTGAATGAAATGATGATCATATGCTTCAAATTTGATTTTGGATTTAAAGAATTCAAGAAAACTGAACAATTTGTCATGACTCCTCCCTCCACCTTTCATCCTAAACTATCTTTCTTTCCTCGCTCCCTCTTTCCCTTCCTTCCTTTCTTTATGTACCAGGGATTGAACTCAGGGACACTTGCCCACTGAACCACACCCTCAGCCCTATTTTGTATTTCAGAGACAGGGTCTCACTGAGTTGCTTGGGGCCTTGCTAAGTTGCTTAGGCTGCCTTTGAACTTGTGATCTTCTTGTCTCACCCTCCTGAGTCACTGGGATTACAGGCATGCGCCACTACACTGGGCTTCACCCTAAACGTTTACATTTTGGTCTTTCTTGAAACTGTACCCTGGATCCCCTTCTCTTTTCTGACTAATTTCTATGTAGGTGGTTTCATTCATTCACAAAAGCTTTACACATTGGTGAGGACTGAATTTTTTTGGGGGGAGGAGCACTGAGGATTGAACCCAGGAATACTTTACCACCATCCCCAGAGCTTTTTTACTTTTTTAAAATTAAGATAGGGTCCTGCTGAGTTGCTTAGGTCCTCGTTGAGTTGCCAAGGATGGCCTCAAACTTGCAATCTTCCCGCCTCAGCCTCTCCAGTTGCTGGGATTACAGGTGTGCACCATTGCACCCAGCTTAATTTATATTTCTAGAAAATACCACTACTCTAAATTTATGGCTCTACTTTTTTCCTCCTTCTCCTCCTCCTCCTTCTCATCTTACCTTTTCTTTTTGGCTTAATAAAAGAGAAATTGACATATAATACGCTGCACATATTTAAATTGTACAATTTGTAGGTTTTGACTTATGTGTTCAGTCATAAAATTATCACCACAAGCAGAACAAGGGATGTAATGATTGCCCAAAATATTTCTGGAGCCTTCTGCAATTTCTCCCACTCTCCCCATTCCCTCAAAAGTCCCCAGGCAACCAAAATATGCTTTATGTTGTTATATATCAGCTTATATATTCTAAACTTTCATATAAATGAAATCATTTGATATAATAAATGAAATGTTCCTGTAGTATTCAGAAACTTTCTGGACTATAGGTGATAAAATACGAATCAGCAAGGTAAATTTAAATAGTCATTGGAAAAAAGTTTGATACTTTTACCTGGCTTTTTTCACTCAACATATCTTTTAAGATTCATCCATATTTCATGTGCATCATCAATTCATTCCTTATTGTTGAGCAGTGGTATTCCATTGTAGGAATATGTCACATTCCCTTACTCAAAATGAACCTTATTCATTCACTTTTGGGCATTTGTGTTTTTACAGTTTTAAAGTTTTGAAGTTGCTATAGCCATTTTTATATAAGCCTTTGTATGGACATGCGTTTCAATTTCTCTTGAAAAAAATACCTAGGAATGAAATGGCTGAATTGTAAGGTAGGCACATGTTTAAATTTTTAGGAAGTTGCCAAACTGTTTTCCAGTGGGGTTGTACTACTTTTCATACCCAAAACGTATATTGTCAATATTAAATGTCAATTATTCTTTGATTAAACTAAAGTGGTTGTAAAGTAGGAGCAGAAGGTAGAGGAAAAGGAGGAGAAAGAGGCATTAGATCCATTAATTCAGATTACTGGTGTTTGCTAGAAATATAAATTCACTCCTCATCAGGAGTGAATACAGGCAATACACCAAGCTTTAAGAATGATAATCAGAAAAGAGAAGGGAACCCAGGATACACCCTTAAAAAATACGGGAATGTAGAACTTTTAGATAAAGGGAGTCATGAGTAACTGCAGTTTTCTCAAGTTGTTTAAGTCTAAAATTAAATTTGAAGTATCTGATCACCATTTCCTTCATGGCAGGCTCTAGCAGTAGAAATAGAAATCCTTTTAAGATAGTTTGTAACAACAACTTTTGTGACTTTTTATACTTGTTTCTATTTCTAAACCATAACATTTAACATTATTACTGATTCTAATTTACAGAAGTTGTCTTCACCTCTAGTGTTAGTATTTATAAAAGTTCCATTCAAAAATGTCTATCATAGGGAAAATGTTTCTTGTATTTCTAAGAAATATGCTAGCATATTCTGAAGAAGATTCATTCTAACTTAATGTTAAACTAAACATTATACATGGCATATATCATCAACAGAGTACAGAATATAAAATATTCACAGAAAAAAATGTAATTAGTATTTATGATATTTAATGGGTATTTATTAAAAAATTTTAACCAGAACAAATTAAATCTATTAGCACTCAAAAAACATTAGATGCTGGTGTGTAAGCTTAAGATAAATTCAAGTGGCTAATTACATTGATTTTGCCTATTTATTTCTATTTTGTCATTGTAAAGCTACAGCCTTGAAACCTTCTAACTTAACGTACTACAGAAGCATTTCAGATTAAATCCCTGTATTTATATCAGAAACAAAATTTTATTTCCAAAAATGGAAAGATCCAATGTGGTCTGTTCAATCAACCTATTCTCTTGTTCAGACCCTTCACTACGCCCCTCCCAGCCCATCATCAGATGCTTTCATAAGTGTTGTTTATGTTCACTGACTCTTCTTCCTATTCTCTCAGCCACATCAGCCTTCCAAGAATGCTCTCTTTAAGCCCACCATGAAATCTCAGTGGCCAGCATCTCTGAGCATGTTTTTACTCTCCTATTACTTAAGCTTGTTGCACCATTGGATGCTGCAGTTGGCTGTACTCTTTTCAACTCCTCACTCACGCAGTGTTTTTCTTCTGGGATACTACCTCCCCTTTTTTGCTAGCTATTCCTTTTTAGTTTCTGAGTTCTCCTTCTCAGTTTCAATTTTGAATTTGCATGGTTCTATTTTCTACGCTCTTCTTTATCGCCTTCCTGACAGTCTTATCCCTACCCATGTTTTAGCACCCCCCCCAATTATTTGCATTTCCACTAAATGAAGATTATTCTCCCTCTGGGAGCCAGAACACACTTGCCTGCCTCAGTTTATTGGCTAACTTCTACTGGACCTGGAGGAATCAGGTCAAGAAAATATGTAATTCCTAAGAGCTTAGAAGACATGTCTATTCAACAATAAACAAATCTGTTCAAAAAGTATAAACTTTACCAAATAAAGGAACAACCAGACAATCCATTCCAATTTTTAACAAATTTACTTGAGGAGTAGTTTGCAGTTGTCGGTCTCTGGGCAGTGCATAAAAGCTGTGGGAAACAGCACTAGAGAGTACAATATCAGAAACTTACTTGGTCTAGAGCCAGGGCTCATTCTACATTAATCTCATATTGAACATCCTGTCTTGTTAAAAGTAAACAAAGTAAATTAAGGTAAAATTTTTGACTACAGAATATAGCATTATGCTTCAGATTAGGGAAGTTCCGTTCCTAGCCTTTGTGATACTTCACCATTATAGATGAAACCAATTTAAAGTGCTGATACTTTGAGCTTTAAACTTCCATGGACAAGGTCCAAGATGTAACTACAGTGAGGTTCATTTTAGTGGTTAAGGAACCCAGAGAATTTGGAATGGCTTTATTCACATAAATGCCACTAATAGAAGAATTTGTCATATTGTCACAAAGAAACTAAATTTCTCTTAATTTTTTAAAATGAGTATTCACTGACCAAATTTTTCATCTAAATCATAGTTTGTAATAAATGTGTTTACTAATTCATACCCATATGTCATGTAATCATTGATTAGCTTATATAATAAATTAAAAAAAATTAAATGTCTTAAGAATACTTTCTTTGTATTTTTTAAATAAAATGTTAATGCTTATGGGAGTCATAATCTGAAATTTTATATGTATATCAAATTTTAAATTTTTATCAAAATAGCCCACATTTGCATTTGGAAAAGAAAAAAAATATATGTGTCCAAGGGGAGAGAGAGAGAGAGAAAGAGAGAGAAAGAGAGGGAGGGAGAATACAAAGGATAATGGGATTAAAAGATAGTATGAAAAGGATTAAGAGATAGTATAGAAATTAACATTAAATCAATATAATACATGTGCATCATAAAATAAAATATTAAAATACATGTGTGTCATAAAATATTAAAAGTTTTACTATACATAATAGATTTCAAGTTAAGAATTTTAAAATGCTTAAAATTTCCATATTCATGTGTAAAAATACTTGCATATTGCTAATTCTGCTTCTAGTAACATACTGTTTTTAGTTTTGTGATAATTTTTATATCTGAAAACATTTTGCAAGGTCTGTAAGCAAAATTATTTTTATAACTATTCTTCTCTCTGAGTGTTCTTAGATTCATAAAGTAGCAGATAACAACAGTACATATGTACAGTTAAAAAAGAAAGCCATTCTATTTAGTATTATCTGGTGAAGCTTTACTAAAAATGAATTATATTCATGTAATTTTAACAAGCATAGAAAATTATAAATTTTCATGGAGCAATTATGAATATAAAGTTGGTAGGTGAAGACCTTTAGAAGGAGCACTACGTTCCATAGCTGTCTATCAGTAAGCCTCTGAGCATACTGCTTGGAAGGCATATTTATAATAGGGTACAGGGAACAGCTGGCTAAGATCTTCATTTCAATTACTGTAACTAACATTTGCCAGAGGTGACCCTCAGTGTCCAGGATGAAAGGCCTTTTCAATCAGTCAATATATTTTCTACTACTAATTTTCTCTACTAATAAGATTGAAGCACACTATTTAATTATGTTTTAAGTTTAAAAATGTTTGTTTTAAAAAGGGTAAAGATGTTAGATTTTACAGTTAAGTAAAACCCTAGAGTACCAGAGAGTCTTCTGTGTAGAAGCCTATCTTGTCAAAAGTTACTAAGTTGATGTCTAATATCTATATTGACTTTAGTTACTCAGGTCATGTCTAATATCTATACTTATGGGCATATTTTTTTTCTGTAGAAACCTGTCTCATCAAGAGTTGTGGAACTGATGACTAATATCTATATTGACTTTTATCAGAACACAACTGGAATTACTGTTGCATATTAATAATGAAAGTAAGCTTCTCAACTCATTGACTGGTGCAAACTTTCCCCACAATTCTAAAATGTGAGATTTTAACATGTTTTCCTAATTCAAGAAGTCTAATTTTGAAAATGATACTGCTGAACACACACACACACACACACACACACACACACACAAGCAGCCATCATGCAGAGGATCTAACATGAAGCAACAGACAGTGAAAGGTCAGTCATGAAGCTGACATATCCTCTATATACTGCTTATTTCTTTCCATCCTGCTTTTAAAAAAGAATATTGTAAAGGGTATTTGCAATTATTTATTTATTTATGTGTTTCTTTTGAGCTCTGCCAGTTCACATAATTAAAAGGCTTCTGCCCTAAATAAGTGAATGTCAAAGTCCAAGGTGCATCATGAAAGAAAACAATTACGAACCATTATGATTTTTTGCCATTTGGTGCTTATTAAGCATGTGTGTTAGAAATTCAGAATTCTTACACTGCATTAATCTATCACTGCCCCCTAATTTTCTTCTTCAATTACATATATACTTATGAGAAAAGGAAAGAATTTGGTTTTATAAATATGTTGATGTGAAAAATCATTCAAAGTCTAAATCCCAGAAAAATAGTTTCTTAGGATGTTTTTTCCCCCACTTTAAGGTTTAGACATCTTTTTCTTCTCTTAGAAAACATTATTTTCAAACTAATTTTATAATGTCCACAATGGCTTGTGACATTATGGATTGGTCCAGTTTCTTATTGCACTAGGATACTTTTTAGTATTCTTCTCAAGTTGTACCATTCCTCTTTAAAATAGTAATAAGAAAAAAAAAACACTATAAAGATAGAAATAGCAAACTTATATTGTTGCAAAACCACTATATTTTCTCAAATTGAAATCACTATGGGATTTTTTTCTTGCTTTCAGGAAGCTTAAGTTTAGAACCAGTATTTCTAAATTATTTCATTTAAAGTGTAGACAGATGCCTGAAAATTACCATCCAATGACAGTGGAAAAGGTACACAACCCTGTCCTTAGAGGTGATGGAAAACTAACCAATACTAGTGAATATGAAATTTTGTGACTGAAAGCTATGATAAAATGAATTAACTCATTCTTACCCTAAAATGTGAGTTTGGGGGCATTAATTGTATTATTAATTATTCAAACCATATTACTTTGCCTCTGCCTTCTTATGCTTTTGAGACAATACCATTTTATTTTCAGAATGTTTACTCTTTCTAACAATAATGCTTCCCAAACTGCCTATCAGAGGGCCCTGTCGACCTACCTTTATGCATGTGGAGCATGTTACCACAGACTTAGTGTTGTTGTCTTCCCAGGCACCCTTCTGGTTTAGGGATTTTATGGGCCCTAGTAAACCACAAAAGCCTACATTTTCTAGGATCAGTTTTGTAGTCCTTCTGCAGAATCCCCTAAAAAATGAAAGGCAACAGCCCAAAGAACATCAGGGACTCAATTGCATGACAAACAAAAGTAAAGTACATCAATCAGTAAAAGACAAATAAATTTTAGAATGCAAAGATTCCAAGTGGTAGTCAAGACAAGGCTTAAGTATACTGTCTGGAACCTGTGCTTCAGCATGCGAGAGCATTAACATGGAACTTCAAAGGATAGAAATTAGTGGGGGCCAAATAAGTCACTTACCAGGAGTCAGAGATTGTCACTCTCAGGAGTGAAGAAAGATTTGAATGAAGTTGTTGTAAAGAAAGTTTATCTAGCTATCCCCTTTCAGCCAACCTTCAGCCCTCTGATTCCCTTATCCAAATCCTGCTCAACAATCACCTGGCACAATTTTCCCTACATAGCAATGCCTACAACTGAGTGCATAACCACCAGAACCTATTTTCATGTAGTCAAGTGTAAACAGATACATAGAAAGATAAATAACTAGAAGGTAGATAATTAGTCATAGTTTAATTATATACACTCTATTATGTCTGCACTTCTTCCTTAATAATAATTTTTGTAAATCTCCCAATACATATCTAATGCATTCTTCTCAGTAACTGTGTAATACTGCATGTTATCAATAGAGCACAATTCATCCAACCATTCTCCTGCCAATGGGTATTCTTTTTGCTTATATTTTTGTTCATTTGCTACAACAAACAATTCATTCATGCAGTAGGTTTTCATTTAAAGCCCTCTATTTACTATTCAAATCTAGGAATAGAGCGGGGGGAAAAATGGAGTTCTTACTCTCACAGAATATCCATTCTACTGGTGGAGAAAGGCAGTAGTTTAATAAGTAACATAATGTTATATTTTTATGAGGCTAAATAAGGAAATAGAAAGGCACAGGGAATTTACTTTATACTTTGGATGGGGTGATCAAGGGAGACCTCTTTGAGAAGACATTTGATCAGTAATCTGAACAACTTGCAGGAGTAAGCCATGAGGAGTGTTAAGAGCAATCCAGGCAGAAAGAGTAGCCAGCGTCAAAGTTCCAAGAACAGAGAAAACGTGATTGAGAACCCATGGGGACAGCCAATCATGGGTGGTGCACAGTGAGGGAGAAGCAAGCCAGGATGTCAGACAGACACTCTGGCCAGGATCCAGGTGATGCAAGGCTTGGAAGGAACTTTAGAAAATGTCACAGTAAATGTTCACAGACACTGTCAGATTTGTCTCCCCCAAAACTACTGCAATCACACTTCTATAAGCAATCAATGATCATGGGCAGTCCAAGAACACAAATAGGCTGGTCCAGAGTCCTCATAGCTATTTGTCAGTCAGTTGAGTTTGCTTTTCAAAATCTACTCATAACTTGAAATAGGCCTATGAGAATAAAATATATGTATATGAAAGCTATACAAATGCAAAATATTCTTGTTAGTTTATCTTATCTGTCAAATCCAGAGAGATCTAGAAATTAGATCTGCCAGTGGGTAAGATTTTCACAGTAAAAAAATATCTCAGGCTGAGAAAAGATGAAATTCTGGTATAATCTCAGATCCAATGGGCTCTGGAATAATAGTTGCCAAGGATAGAACTGAAGACGTCAGAGTGGCTATGTCAACACAAAGCATTGGATAGGATAAGTTGCTAAAACTTATGTATCAACATGAGCTAGAATTCTCTTAGGTTGGAAGGAAATGGTCTTATAAATACAGATGCTCCTTGGCTTACAATGAGGTTATTTCTTGGTGAACCCACATATTTATTCATATATTCAAAATGTACTTGGTACCCCTAACCTACCAAATACCATAGCTTAGCAAACAACTGCAGATGACAGTTGTTTATCCTCTCGGTGCACAGCTGCCTGGGAGTGCAGCTCACTTCCTCTGTTCAGCATCATGAGAGCATGGTACCACATATCACTAGCCAGGGAAAAGATCACAACTCAAAATTCTAAGATGGTTTCTATTGTTGGCTTTCAAGTATCATTGTGATAAAGCAACTTAATTCGATAAATATGTATAAACTGTATAAATGGGTGAAAATCAAAGTGAAAGGAGCTTGCCTTTGTCATTGTTGTCCAAACTTTTCTCAAAATGTCTGGTTTCATCATCTTAAATTGATGTTTTACCTTCTGCAAAGGAGGAAGAAGAAGAAAGTGGGAACAGCCTAGAAAAAAGCACAAAAGGGGAGGCAAATCCTTGAAGAATAAGAACCACAAATATCTATTCAAGTCTGTGTTTCCTTCTCATTAAAAGGAGTTAAGGAACTCTTAATAATCTAATATTTACAATATAGTAAAATCCATATTACATTAAAACTCATGGTATTTTAGAGGATTCTGAAACACTCATATATGTGAAAAAGAAGACTATAAAAGATCATAGAAGATACATTAATTCCACCTCAAGTTTAAAACTCCTAATGGAGAAAATAATAAATAAAAGCCAACGGATACCTGCTATGTAATAAGGCACAAATTAAGTTTTAATTGCATCTCGGGGTTAAAAGAAGACTTTTTAAATTAAACAAAAAGAAAGAGGAGAAACACCTTTTAAAAGCCAAGCAGTCAATAAAATGTTAGTTATTCTCTCCAGCGATCATTTGGCTTTTAAAATTCTGATAACCTTCCCTAAAAAAAAAAAAAAGAAAGAAAAAAAAAAAAGCATTTCCTCTAGTCTAGACAACATAACCCGCTTCCATCTTAGATAGGGCACTTGGGAATGGGGATCTGTCTCATTTCACTCACACCATATATGATTCCACATAAACCAGGACAGTATGTCCCTCCACACCCCAAACAGGGATCCCTGTGAGGCAGTACTTCCTACTATGAGCCAAGGCCTTCAGCAAATTCTGTGTGAAAATACATTTGTTCCTGTTTTCTTTTCACTTACCTTGAAAAGTCTCATCCCCATGACACTGATGGTGGCTTTGGGTGTTGGCTCAAGAGAAAGCAAGCAGCAGAAGGAGGTGGTTTCCTGTGGAGCAGGCAACTTCAGACACCAAGTCCAGGTCCTCCCGTAAACACTAAAACTGAGAAGTCAACACCAGGGTAACATCAGGAAGCTAAGTGTTTCATTATACCTACGCACTGAGTAGTGAAGCATTCTGACCACTGAATTTTCTTTAGAGTTCTGCTTTTTTTTTTTTTTTAAATATGTTTTCAACTTAAAAAGTCTTTTATAAAAGCCTTTTATAACAGACTGTATTTTTGAAGAAAAAAAAAGCAAGCATTCTTTAAGATATATTTATTGCCTGGGAACCATTATTTGCACCCCTGATAACAGAATGGATTCTTCATTAAAAGGGCTATAGTGTAATATGAGTATTTCTTGGTAGGGGCCCTTCAAATATACTGTGGTTCTTGCTATATAGCTAGCATCTGCCATACCAACAAGGAAAATGTGCCAGAAATAGGTGTGAACATTTTTTGGCTTTAACCTGTGTTTATGAACTAAATGAAGAAAAAGAAAGAATTGTCATTTGGCTTATTCAGATTAGAAAGACATGTTGAGCTTATAATTCCTAAAGCTCCTCCAATTCTTAAATTCTATGTGCTAAATTTGGAGCACCTGTGTTTTTATTTTCCTAGAACCACACTGAAAATCTAAACAAATAACTTTACCCTTTAGTCTCTTGTTTAATGAACTTGGTTTATTCCTGATAAAATATGGGAGGATGTGACATAGACTATGGTTTTCTGGGTTGGTTTGGTGTCAGAACTAGAAGTCTGAGTGCAAGTCTGTTAGAGAAAATTCATGTTATTCCCTTATGAACAATATATGTGGAGAATATGACCAAAAACATAATTAGTTCTATACTTAAGGTACATTATAGGTGAAATAAATTTTACCTAGTCAAACTTAGGACAAATCTGTTCCCATTTCAGTTCATTAGATTGGAAATTTACATACAAAGTTTGAAAATATTAAATTATAAATAAACATTTGAAATGATATCTGTTCATACACTAGAGACTGTTTGTAGCTATGTTTTACCTAGTCAAATCAATTTTCTTGAACTTATGTGTCTAAATAGAATGTGGTCATACATTTTAGTGTACCTATAGTCTTATTTTGGTTGGTCCCATAAGAAGGAAGAGAATTTGATTATCATCACTTTGCAATTTCTTTGCAAAACCTCTTTATTTCCTTAGGAAGAAATAACCATGGACAGCTCTTAATAAAAATTTCATTTCTTTACATGAAAACTTTAAACCTTGAAGTGTTCTTCAAAGTTTAAGCTTTAGTTATTCATTTGAATTTAAGTAAAACTTGCTCACTGATCAGTTAAACTAAATTATACTGAAAACAAATAATAATGCATTTTAAAAAACAGTTGAGTATCTTGCTCTCACCTACAATAGAATCTTAACTAAAAAGATGGTATGAATATCTGCTACTGTGTCTTTCTATATAGAAATATAATGATAAAGATCTTATTTTAATTCAGGAAACTTATTAACCACAAATTACATGTAAAAACATGAACCACTCCTATATCAAAGACCCAACTGAGTTTGAAATAGAGAAGGTGTTTTTTAGTTTGTTTGTTTTTGCTGTTCTCTGTCAACCTTTATGACTCACTCACTATGGTTTATCTGGTGTCTTTACACACTATTTAGAGACAACCTCAGCAAGAAAAAAAATGGATTTAACTTGTCAGAGCAAAAAAAATCAAGGAAACATTATAGCAGTGACATGTATAAAACAAAAGAGATCATTTGAAGTGAGACAGATAAGGATTCAAATCAAATTAAACAAGTTAATTATCCTAAGCCACAAGGTCTTCATCTGTAAAATAATGCTTGCCCCAGGATTGTTTTTAGCCAGCACATGGAGGTATTACCATGCTGGTTAGTGAAGAGTGAAGTATTTCCATACATTCGTAAAGAGCTGCTCCCCAAAACACCAGTCCCCTTGTCCCATTCTATATCAGGATCCTCCAGTCCTCATCAAATTCAGTAACCCCTCAACAATTGGAGAAGCTTCTGAAATTCTC